CTCTCCTCCGTTGGCGGAGGCAGACAGAGAATGAGGTTCTGGGAATTTTCTGAGTTGCTTTCTCAGGTCAAGGGCCTCTGTCATTAAGGAACACAAGAAGTGAGCAGGTCTTGCTGAAGCCAGTTTGGCTCAGTGGATAGAGCATCGGCCTGCGGACTGAAGGGTCCCAGGTTTGATTCCGGTCAAGGGCATGTACCTTGGTTGTGGGCATATCCCCAATAGAGAGTGTGCAGGAGGCTGCTGATCGATGTTTCTCTCTCATCGATGTTTCTAACTTTCTATCTCTCTCCCTTCCTCTCTGTAAAAAATCAATAAAATACATATTTTTTTTAAAAGTGAACAGGTCGGATCATCCCAATTACCATTCCCAAGCCTGTGCTTCTTCAAGACAAGGTAGGACGTCCAGACGCTCTGAGCCGGTAGTCACAGCTTCTCAGGAAGTTTCTTAACTTGCTCAAAGAGCCCACGTGGGAGATCCGAGCTGGGTGGGGGGACCGAGCCAAGGTTCCCTCAAGGCTGGTCACTTCACTCTGCACGACCACCCCAAGTTCGAGAGCCACGGTGCCACCTGGCAGAAAGGACTCCCTGATTTTGATAAGTGCATACGTGAGCTGCACTTTGTGGCTGATCCACAGAGCAAACCTAAGGGTGCCTCTGAATGTTCAGAATCTGCCCTATTTACAGAGTCCTGGCTGAACAGTCACGGATACAGCACAGTGAACTCTCCCCGCCAAAACAGCAGCGGCTCCCTCTCCTTGTCTGTCGCACTTTGGAATTTAACTTCCCAAGTCAGCCTGCAATTTTTATGATTTTTGTGGTCCACCTTTGCCCAAAGATTTCCACAATACACATTTCTGGAAATTAAATAAGCTCCATTAACAGGAATCTACACCTAACGTCAAGTTGAAAGACGCAGCCTAAAATACACCCCGAGTCCTCGGGTGACTCATTCTGTTATCACCACACTGGTCACCGATGAGCATCGGGCCCTCCGTTACTGTGAAATTCTGTGCAGATGAAGTTAGTTTGGGGCTGCTTTTATTTTACCACTGAAATCCAAAATGCTAAACAACAAGAATATGTTACTCACAAAATAACGATGCAGCCACACACATGCGGTTATCAAATTAAATGGTCCACCAGTGAAAAATCTTGGCTAAAGAGGACAAGACTCAGCCTGGCCCAAAGCCATCTGACTATTTGGGTACTGCTGGACAACTCTATTTCTCAATCCCCTCCAAGGAAGAGGGATGCCAATCACTGCCTCAGAGGGCCTCGGGGAGGATCGAATGAGCTATGTATAAACTGCGTAACACAGCAGCTGGATCATGGTAGGCCCTCAACAAATACAAGCTCCATCCCCCCTACCCGCCCCCCTCTTCTTGCCCTCTCTCCAATATCTAGGCTGTACAAGAAATCAATTGCCAACCCACTGTTACCTTTTCCTAGGAATGGAATCTAGCATGGAGGTGATGTAGTGATAAAACAAGCATTTACCAGAACATCTACCATGGGCCAGACACGGTGCTATGGTATATATCTCATTATTACACTTAATAATAATAACATTAAATTATTATTAACATTATCATCAATGACAGCACGATCAGGGAGGTACTAATAGAATCCCCATTTTAACGATAGGGAAACTGAAGACAGGTAACTAGTCCAAGGTCACATACTCAGGAGGTTGGCAGTGCCAGGATCTGAACCCGGGCAGTCTGGGCTCTTCAACACGGAGCTAAGCCGCCTGGCCCTTCGCGGGGCTGGAGAGAGGACAAGGAAGCTGGACGCCTGGCAGACCAGGCATGGACGTGGGAGCCACAGGGGCTTCGGCTGTTCCACACCCTCCCCAGCCCAAGTGGGAGGCTGTGCACTTTGGGTGCAGGACTCACACAGCCCAGCTTTGCAAAACTGCATTAGGGCCTAAAACAACATTTTACAAACTCACACCGAGGCCTACCTTCTAAGGTCCCGACCATTAGCCACACTTCTTGCTACATCTTGTCTCCTGCCATTTACTCTCCTCCTGGCAGCCAGAATGATCCTTTTAAAACCAAATTCACGCCACTCTTCGGTCCAAAGTCCCCAGTGGTTCCCCACCTCCAAGGCCCTAAAGAGCCACCTCAGCCTTCTTGCTGTTGCTCCAATGATACAAATTCCTGCCCCAGGGCCTTGCGCCTACTGTTCTCTCTGCCCGGAATGTGCTTCTCTCATGAATGCTTGGCTCAGTCCCTCATCTCCTTCAGATCCTTGTTCACATGCCACCTTCCTGGTGATGCAATACTCCCTCTGGTTCACTAATCCCGCTCCCTGCTTTCCCCATAGCACTTGGTACCGCCTGACATACCACATGTTTTATGCATTTATTATGTCTCCCCCACTTCCACTAGAACATCAACTCCATAAGACTAGGGTTGCTGTCTGCTGTGTTCACTACTGTACATCCAGCACCAGGTCATAGGTCAGACTCTGGCACTTAGCAGGTGCTCAGTAAGTACTGTGAAATGAATGACTGAGAGTGATTTTCCATCTTCCCCCCACTCCAGCAATCGCCCTGTCGACTCCATCCTGATCACTTGGTTGGGCAACGAACAAATAAGTCCCTTAACCTCTTCCATCCCTGGTTTCCTCATCTCCCAACGAGAGCATTGGAGTAGGTTATCTACAGAGTCCTTCCATGCCCGAAAACCTCGACTGACAACAAAAGGCAATAATTCTTCACTACAGCAAGCCCGTAGCTTCTTTGACTCGATTATAGAAACCACATTTCCTTTAGTATTTTCCCCAGCCAAGCCCCCGCAGCCCCCATGCCCTGAGAATGAGTGAGGTCTGGCTGAGCTGTGCTCTGTGACTTGTAACCTGCACACCAGGTCAGCATTAACCTCAAGTGCTGGGATCACCGGTCTCGTAAAATCGACCCAGATTGGGTTACAGGGAAATAAACCAAACCACATTCGGTGTCTCTTAGGATCAGAAACACCATCGCTCCTTGTCCCCCTCAATTTCACACTGATTCCTGAGCAGCCCAAGCTGTTGGTTTTGGGGTTTAGCCAGAGGCCCTATCGAGAAGTAACGAAACTGGGTGTACTGGGCCAAAAGGAAGGTGGTGGGACGAGAGCAGACCGTGGTGTGTAAGAGAGCTCAGGGGAAGCCCATGTCAGAGGATCACAGGTCCTTCAAGGTCATTCCATCGAGACTACTCGGCAGGTCCTTCAAGGTCATTCCATCTAGACTACCTCTGACCCCAGGAAACCTTGGGCCTTTGTTTCCCCAATCTGAAACAGGGACTAAGGGACACACACACACACACACACACACATATCTCTAATGCTCCACAAAGTGCCTACAAGTCTGAACCCCACTTGACCAATCTAACCCATGCCAGGGTCAAGTTCACCAGCATCAGCCAAGGCCTTCTCTTGATTGAATGTTGGGTCACTGTTTAACATGTATAACATGACTGTTTGGTCTTTCAAAGATGCACTACTAGCTTTACTGACAGAATCAATAGAAACTCACTTGTTAGCTCCTTTGGAGTCCCTGCCTTCTTGGCAAGCCCGCCGCCTGTGGCAGAGCCGTCGCCCCTAGCAGTCTCCGCTAACACCTATTCACCGATCCCTTCATACCAAGAAGTGAGAGGGCACAATGGTTAAGCATAAGCATTGGAGAAGTCAGTCCTGGGTGAGCATCCTGGCAGAACTACTCACGTCCAAACTGGGCAGCCTGAGCCCCAAACACATCTCTGTGCCTCAGTTTCCCCATCTGTAAGTGGGAATAAGAGCACCGCCCACTTAGGGTTGTTATAAAGATTACATGAATTAATAGTAGGTTAATATATGTGAGTCACGTAGTCAGGATCTGACATGTAAGTGCTGACTCAATGGTAGTCATTATCATTAGAAATTTCTTCAAATTACACATGACCCTGAGAGGTTTGGACTGGTCCTTCCTGGGGTATATTCTGGCATCGTGGTAATAATACGGGGCTCCATGACTATGTTCAAGCCTAGGCTAGTCACAGAGAGCAAAGAGATGGCACGCATGCCATCTACCGGCTCCCCCGACTGGGCAGGCATCTCGAATCTATCTCAGCGCTCTTTTTTCCTTCCCCTGCAGCTATGGGCTGCTCAGGCTCAATATAGAGATCAGGCAGCCACTAGGCCTGTGGGGAAACACGGCTGCTGTCTCCTGACAACAGGCAGGTATGCTGGGGTGGGAGATTCATGCATGAAGGCAAGGACCACTCTGCATGAAAATCGTGAGAAATGGATGGAGCCTTGCCTGTCTGTCCACTGCTGTGGACCCAGCACTTTGGACAGTACCTGCCATGCAGCAGACACTCAAATACCCGTTGGATGAATAGATTAGCATCAAATTAGCAACACAGCACTGGGATTCACCTAGCATAGGGGTGTCGAACTCAATCAGAGAAGGGGCCAAAATCTAAAATCCAGCCTAAATCGCGGGCCGAATGGTTTACTGAACAGTCATAAACTGTCATTGTGATGGAAACGCAGAGGAGTGCAGTGATGACAGCGCGGTGCGGGCCACATTGCAAGGCCTGGCGGGACGGATTTGGCCCGCGGGCCTTGTGTTTGACACATGTGACAGGTGGTCAACGAATGAGGGAGGACAGTGGGGTATGCTCAACCCTCAGTTGAGCTCACTATTTCTGAGTAGAGTGCACCCAGCTTTGGCAGGTTCAAGGCCTCGTCATCGCCACTCACACATCATGTGACCCTGAGCAGGATCCTTCCTCCCCAACTTGAGCAGCCAAAGGCCAGTTTAGGATTGAGTCACCCTTGGTTCCAGTCACAGAGGACACCAGGAGGTCTGCAAAGTGCTGCCCACAGCAGTACATCCTCCAGGGAAGTGCGGATACTTCCCAGCCAAGGGGACAGGCCTGGACCACCCATCCTTTCAGGCAGAAGAGGCACACCTGTCAGGTGGCTGCTAGTTGTGAGGGAGGCGTAGTGAGGTGAGGGTGGTGCACCTACCTGCTCGCCGTGCTTTTCCGTCCAGCAGCACTGGCTCCGTCAGCCTGCAAAAGAAACCCAAACACAGGCTTTAGCCAAGCAAGGAGACACAGAATTCTACCCTCTGCCACCCTCCCCTCCCCTCCCCCCCTCAGGCTGCTGCTCTGCACAGCCTTGGGACACAGGGGTGAGCTGGCCCTGTCCCCGGCTCCATTCCTTCAGGCTGGGAAACTCTGCCCCCAGTGGTGAGAGGGAGTCAGCACCCCTCCCCAACCCAAACTGGCTTGGCCCTTTAAATCCAGCAGAGCACCCATTGCCAACACAAACCCAGCAACCACAGAGCCCTGGGGACGCGGTGAAAAGTAAGTAACCAGCTAAATCTGAGATTGAATTGCACCATTTTTATTTTCAGCTGGGACTTCCAATAAAACAGTAGCCGCAGATTTATTCCTACCAACCGGAGGGGGGAAATTCATTTATGTTAAAATATTCTGTCCCCCAACCCTCTGAGCAGGGGGAGGCAAGCGAGTGCTGGATCCTAATCTCTTTATTGGGGGTGGGGGACGGGGGTGGGGGGAGGGAGTAAGGCTGACCAAAATTAAATTTTCAGAAATGATAAAATTCTGGTTCCAATGGAGAGACTGAGGCCCCGGGGGAGGAGGAAGCTGCCTGAAGTCTCATGAGGGCTGAGGGACACAGAGCTGGGGATCCTGACTCCCAGGCCAGTGCGGGGGGGGGGGGGGGGGGGGTGCGCTCGGGGACCTCGATGCGGAGTCCACAGATATGGGGGAAGGCCCAGACTCTCCACCATCCCTGGTTGAAGCAGCAGCCCCCTATCTTAGTGCAAACATCTAAAATTGTGGAGGTTCAAGATGCTGCCACACATTTGTCCCCCGATTCACAGTCCTTCCAATTTTAATATATTTTATTGATTTTTTTACAGAGAGGAAGGGAGAGAGATAGAGAGCTAGAAACGTCGATGAGAGAGAAACATTGACCAGCTGCCTCTTGCACACCCCCTACCGGGGATGTGCCCGCAACCAATGTATTAATACATGCCCTTGCCCGGAATCGAACCTGGGACCTTTCAGTCCACAGACCGACGCTCTACCACTGAGCCAAACTGGCTTCGGCCACAGTCCTTCCAATTTTAGAAAGATAATGTCTGTATTTAGAAACAACCCTGGCGGGGTCTGGGGAGCCCCCAGGACTCAAGCGCATTGATGCTTCCACAGTGAGGCTGGCACAGGGAGCCCCACTGGGATAAATGAAGAGGGCTCAGGTCAAGTTCTCCCTTAGGCCGAGTTCTGCCACGTCATACGTTACAAAAAATCCTTCTTTCGTTTCCAAACTTCTCGAATCTCAGCATTGGGATGGAGGACTGATGACCTAACATATAAGAACAGCAGCAGCTACCTATTGATGAGTGCTCATGGGAGCTGCAAACTGGCAAAACCAGATGGCGGACTTCAATCCAAAGTGTAAATATATAAAAATAAAGGCATTTCACACACACACACCCCCCCATACACACAAAGGCCACATTTCAGCTTCTCTTTAAAAACCAGTTAATCCAGCAACACAGTCCCCACACGGCCATAGTCAGCTACAGCTGACATACCTGCTCCTACCCTTCCCTCTCGCCTCACACAGTCCCCCAGCCTGGCCCCTGTGGGCATCCAGACTGGCTCCCCTGGAGAAACTTCCCAGCGGGTGCTAGTGTAGGACATGAAATGCCGCTTATTGAATCCTCTCAATAGGTCCCCCAGCACACATACACAATATTCCCATTTTACAGGTTAGGCCCAGAGGGCCCTTCAGCCATGTATCCAATACCCCATGGCTGCGCGCCCAGGTCTGGGTGACTCCAGCGCCTACCTTCTCAGCTCTGTAATATTTTATTGTCCCCCAACTCCCAGGAGAGCTCATGGAGAAATGGGATGAGCCTACAGCACCCCGACTGCCCACCAGAGGGAAGGAGAAAGGTGAAGGACAAGAGGGGAGGCGGAAGCAGGAGGCCTGGGCGGGAGAAATTAATGGGATGCCGGTGTGTTATTTCAGCAGAAGAAACAAAGCAGAAAACGGTTTGCATATCATTTCCCTGGGAGCAGAGGAACAGGATCAATTACAGCCCCTCTCCGACACTGCATTCCTCAGGACTCGTCTGGAAAATGAGCGGGAAGACACTTTTTTCACGTCCATGTCCGTAAGAGGCCGAAGTGGCTGGGGGTGGGAATCCTGCCCCAGAGAGCCTAAACTGTACAGCCCCAAATGGCCTCTCGCCTTCCAGCCTCAACTCTGGCCATCAATTTCTAGCATTTCATACATATTTTTAATGATGTCTTTTGTCACCCCTTTCCTTCATAATTTCACACGGAGCTGACGAGTTCAAATACAGGGAACACGTGGCTGGGTGCGAGAGAAGTTTCAGGGTTTTTTTTGCACACCTGATTATCCCCAGCTACCTTGCCCTTTTATAATGCTTGCGATATTGGAGCTTTGTACAACTGCTGGCAACACTGATTTTGGTTTTTCACCCATTTTTATAAAATAAAGGCAAAGTGCGGATAAAAGTGTTCAAATCGTTGTCTAAACAACCCCCTTTGCAGAGACTAAGGTGGTGGCTGAAGGGAAAACAAACTGATGGAGGAGTAGAGCTGATGGACAACGGGCACCAGTCAGAGCTGTCGAAAGGAGCACCTGTCAATATCACAGCAGCTGTCAATCACAGCATGCGGGCTGCGTCTAGACCCACCATAATGACAAGGACGGCCCCTCGGGCCCTGCTAGCCCCTGTCGAAGCCCACAGTGCCAAAGGCGCCAACTCCCAGTTGCAGAGCTCCCTAAGAGGCCAGGCCAGCTTGCTGTGTGTCCTCACCAATCAATACATCATAGCAACCCTACTGTTCGAATCAGTTGCACCGCGGACCCTGTCATTTCCCTAGGCCCAAAGATCCTAATACCAGCCAACTCAGGTGACCCAACCTGAGCCGCAAAGTCAGGGTAAGCTGACTTGGTCTCAATTTGAATTGACGTTTACGAGGACAGGGTTTGGACACAGGCAGTCTGCCTTCGAGTCCTGGTTCTGCCAGTTTCTAGTTGTATGCTCTTAGGCAAGTTTCCTCATCTGTAAAGTGGCAATATCATAAGCCCAGGACCTCCATCCTGGCTGGCATGAGACTTAAACCCAGGTAAGGTACACAGAGGAGCGCAGGTAGAAGTACGCAGCAGGGCTCAGCTGCAAGCCGGCCTGGACAGCACCAGGGGTCTCCCCGGCCTGTCCTCAGGCCTGATCTGAACCCCATGCTGCAAGTCCACATCTCCTGAGCTCCCACCTAACCCCCATCTCTGAACACGGCGGAGCAGACAGTACGAAGCGCGGGCCAGGCCGGTTTCCATCGCTTAAGTAATGGAAACTCTACTGCTGTCGCCACTGCTCCCGGGCCACGTGCTCCTAGAGGAAATGCAGCTTCCGGCCCAGGCTCTGTCTGGGTCTCGCTTTGAACCTTGGGCAAGCTTTCCTGTCCCTGGACCTGAGCTTGCCCACAGGCAAGAAGGGGAGCAAGAGCAGGAGAGCTAAATCAGATCATCTCCGCCCCCGACTTCCATCTCAGTCATTCTAGGTGGAGTTGACCCAACCTTAACCAAACCCCTCGACGGCCAATGAAATGTGCTGGGGACAGTGGGCCATGAGAGACCCGCCTGCTCCCTCTCACAGAGGTGGGGGTAGAGGTACCCAGACCCCCCCAGCTCCCCATCAGGGTACCACCTGCCCCACTTCCTAACCCATCCATTCCTTCTACACCGGCTTCTCCCTAGAACCTGAGCAAGGCTATTTTTGGTTCCATTCAACCCTCCTCTTCCCTCCCCAAATGAATGTTAAGTTGTTCTTTTCCATTCTCTTATTAAGGATTTTCTTGGAAAGAAAATATTATTCCAAACCCAGAAATTTTATTTCTAAATTTGTGCAAATGTAAGTTGTAATACATTAGCTGCATTTCACATTTTGTGCAAATGGCAGAAACAGGCAATTCGTGTGCTCCGGGATGGGGGCTGGCCAACGATTTCGATAAAATAAACCCTTTTTTAATTTAAATGCTAATGCACTGAATTAAAATTTAATAACTGAGGAAATTGAAAAGCCGAGCAGGAATATTGGAAATAAATCCAAGCAGAAACAGCTGAAATTAAAAATTCTAGAGAGTGGGAGGATAGCAGCTAAGCTGTCTTATATGATTACATTTTTTTTTTTTTTTTTCAAAATGAAGCAAAAAAAAAAAAAATCCTATCTCTCGCTGGCTCTGGGGCAGTAAATCCACAGTGCTGTGATTTATTGCTCAATTTTCCTGAGGGAAAAAGGCTTTCTTTCATGCTGAAATATTTCATAAATTTCAAGCCAGCATAAATTCTTAATTTAAAAGTTATGGAGGTCACATTTAGTGCACTGGTACGGTTCCAAAATCTTAAAGGAATAGCAACGACCAAAAAAAAAAAAAAAAAAAAAAAGGCAACTAGGAGGGGCAGAATTTGCTTTTTCTTTTTCTTTCTTTTTTTTTTTCCCTTTTTGGTTTTAATTCATGAGTTGAAATTTCATTATTAAAGATTCCTCCTGGATGGATCAAATCCAAGCATGTGGGGACCTGGTGTGTATTTGGAAATCTGCTGCACAAGATGAAGAGATAAAGATTTAATTCAATTATAAAACGGTGTTTTTTTTTCTCCCCCTTTAAGCCACTTGAGGAATTTCTGGTAAAAATTTCCTCCCTTCACTGCCCCGGAAGGGGTGAGCGTGGGGGAGGGGGGCCAATGTAATGGCTTCTCTTAGATCTCCAATCTTTTGTGCACACTGATATATTCATTTGTTATACAGCTGTTCAGCGGCGGAAAGAATGCTGGGGCGCCCATAATTCTAAGCAAATCAATCAAAAATTAATGATTTGTCATGCTTGCACAATGGAGGAAAACAGCTCCTTGGGCCCTGGCTGCCTGATCTCAAAGAATGAAATGCCTTTCTTGGAAAAGGGAGCTGAGCCAGAGGTCCAGGGAGGCTGGGGTGCCACAGCAA